GTACATGGGACCTGTGGCAGATACCTGGAACCTTTTTTCAGGCACCTGGTACCAAAAAACAGGTCCCAGGCACATGCAAAAAACAAAAAGTACTTTCAAACAGGTGTCAAGTGACATCTCTAATTTTGTCTCTCTTAGACTTTATCTTCTCTTCTCTCTTTGGATTCTTTGGCTTCTTGGACCTCCTGGGCTGGTACACAATAAACCACAGATAAAAAATAGCTTAGTCTGATAGAAAAAAAGGAAATCGAGATAGACAGATAGACAAAACTAGACTCATACCAATTTTCAGTGGGTCAGTGTCTGCTGACTCTCTGCTCAGATCTGATTGACCTGAGGATCAACTTAGACTCCTTTAGAGATGTCGCTCGATACCCGGGTACCTGTAGTGGGTGCGGGCACCTGCCTCAAAAATCCAATATTTTTGACACCTGCACCCGCACCTGCACCTGCTAGGGCGCCAGGGCGGGTACCTGGGTACCTGCGCCGGGTACCTGCGGGTACCTGGCACATTTTTGCAGGCAAATATACCCAGAAATCTCACCCTTGAATTTCTGCATGACTTGGTAAATATAAGATTGATATTCACTAGATATATGAGTAAGAATAAAATAGGAATAAAGAAATAAAGAAAAAAAAATTATTCTATCACCAATTTGAATTTTATCTTCTCTCTGATCTATCTTTAGCTTTACCCTTTTGCTTGGCCTCATTTGCCTTATTCAATTTCCATTGATGAAGACTGTACACCATCTCAAAGGCCGGAGGGAACCCTCCGGCCTCAACAAAGCAACCAGATTAGTTCAGCAACACATGTAAGACACCAGCTGGTTTCCTACATGGGTTGCTGACACCTTTGTGTAGCCCAACACACCCAAAAGAGGGAGTGTTGGACCACCAATGATAAATTAAATTCTTCTGGGGAAACATTCCCAGGGCGGGTGTAAGGCAGGTACCCGGGTACCTGCCTTTTTTTACCGCAAATTTTGACACCCGCACCCGCACCCGCACCTGTTTTTACCGCAAATGTTGACACCAGCACCCGCACCCAGTACCTGTTTCCGGGTACCTGCATTGGAAAACAGGTACCCGCAAACGGGTACCGGGTACCTGCTGACATCTCTAGACTCCTTGGAGAGGGTGCTGAAGTACCAAGTCCAGAAGAAGTCTGAGACACTGATGCCTAGTGAGCAGAGTATCTAAATCAAACAAAAATGATTACCAAGGAGGTTCAAGAGTCTGAGTAAAGTGTAGGGGCGTGTTGGATAGCAGTCTTTTGAGTAAGCCATAACCATTGGATGGGAAGTGGATGATCTGGTTGAGAGCTTTAAGCCTTTACCCTCCTCCTCCTCTGAGTCATCCACAACACTCCCTCCAGCTGCTGAGGTTAAGGTGCATTGATAATTGCACACACACCCCCTCTGTGCCCGCCCACGCCCCCGCCCCTCCAAAAGGAGCATGCAATTGAACCCGCCACTCCTGGAGGGGCGGGTTTGATCACACGCCCCTTGGAAGCCTGTTTTTCCAAGGAAACAGGCTTCCGAGGGGCGGGCAGAAGAACCTGCCCCTCCAGAAGGGGTGGGTGGGATAGCACACCAACCAAGAACCAAGATAGCTTGGTTCTTGCTTGGCAGGCAACATAACTGAGGGGCAGGGCTCATGACCCGCCCCCAAAAGTTCATGGGAACCTATGGATTATTGATTTAGGTCCCCATTGTTAAGGCAAGACCATGGATAAAAAGTAAAAATGAAAATTCCCATCACTACTTATATGTATCTTTTGTATGTACAAGCATGTGATGATGATAAAAAAGAGAAAGCATGTGCATGAAAATATGAAAATAGAAATAAATCCATGAGAAATATGGATTTATTGGCTTAATACATAATGGGTGTTTAACACCCATGGCCTCTAAAGAAACAAACCTTACCAATATTGAAATTGGTAAGGTTCTGTGTTTGCTTACGTGAGCAAAACATCCAAGGATGTTTTGCTCACGTAAGCCAGGTTCCTTCTCCTCCTTGGGAGGAGAGAGAACTTTATTGATATCAAGTATTGATTAAGTTCTCTCTCCTGCCTAGGAGGAGAGAGAACCATGTTTTGGTTTGCTTATGTGAGCAAAACATCCCTGGATGTTTTGCCGAGGTGGTGGTTGAGAGGGAAAAGGAGGGGGAAAAAAGGCGGAAGGGGGTGGAAGGAAAAGGGCAGGCTGATTACCTAGCCTGCCATCAAGGTTCTCCCTCCTCCTTGTGAGGAGAGAGAACCCTATCAATATACATATAAATAAGGTTCTCTCTCCTCCCAAGGAGGAGGGAGAGGCCCCAATTATGTCAGCAAACCATCCTAGGATGTTTTGCCAACATAACTAAGGACCTTAACTACCAATTGGCAAATTGGTAAGGTTCAAAGGTTGTTGAGAGGCAGGTCAAAGGCCCCGCCCCTTGATTAAGCTATCCACCGCTGAAGAACCAAGAACATCTTGGTTCTTGATTGGTGGGAAAGTCCTCCTGCCCATCTCTGAGGGGCAGGTTCTTCTGCTCCTGAAGGGGCGGGTTCTTCTACCCGCCCCTTGGAAGCCTGTTTCCTTGGAAAAACAGGATTCTGAGGGGTGGGGAAGGGGGGGGGAGGGTGATTACCAATGCACCTGCAAATGAGGAAATTGTGTGAGGATAACACTAGGAACTCTTGAGTGTTTTAATTTCAGTAAGTAATTTCAATATCTGAAATCACCTGAGTGGAAAGTGATGACTGACATTCCACTACTGCAAACATTTTTCAACTCAAAATCCTCAAATTGTATTAGCATAAGAAAGCTAGGTTGGTAATTCATTGCAGACAGTTTGAACAGCATTGGGAAGAAAGTCAAAATCATCATTGTCAAACTTTTGGGTCTTGCCAGTTGTTTTCTTGGTTGGTGGTGATTGATTCTTAGTTGAGTGGTATTTTACTTCAGTTTGGTGTATTTTTCTCCAAATAGTGCTAGGAACACGTTTAGTCAAAGTAGGTTGGATACCACTTCTGGATCATTGACAGTTTGTAGCAATGGTGGGCCAGCTACGCTAACCGTAGCGTAGTGTAGCGCAAAACTGCTACAATTTAGCGTAGCGTTAGCGCTTTTCTCATTTTTGGCACTAACACTACGCGCATGGGGAAAAAATTTGCGCTAACTTTTAGCGTAGCATTAGCGTGATTTCCCCCATCTGCGCTAACGCTACGCGCGCAGGGCGCAAAAAACCGCCCGCTACACTGCGCTACAGCAGTTTTTAGGCTTTTTTTGCCGCTAAAATCACTGTAGCGTAGCGGTGCCAGAGGCGCGCTAACACTACACCAAAAATTGGCTAGTGTTAGCGCCACTACAAATTAGCGTAGCGCAGCGGCCGTAGCGGCGCGCTAACACTACACAAAAAAAAGCAATTGTTGGTGCCGCTACGCTAACGCTACATGTGACTGTAGCGGCCCACCGCTGTTTGTAGCAGGGGTTGAGATCCATCACAAGAAGGATCATGTTGAGTTCAAATGCCTTGCCAACATAAATCTTGATTTTATCCAACATCACCTCAATCATGTTTTTAAGTTTGTTTTTGGAGATTGAAGCCAATTGATGGAAGACAATCTCTTCTTTAAGTAGTTTTCAATGGATTTTTATTGTGCAAGAATAATTGATGCTGATGGTAACCCCCCCTCCATCTTATTGGTGAGGAAGTAAAATTCCTGAATCCAACTGCACCAGGAAAAACTAAGCTCACCAGATGAACGGTGACATCATGTAACATTGATTACAACTCCAGTGTAGCTCCAGTTACACCTAAATCTAACTAGAATGGCCCCTTTGTGTGCCACAGGGGGCTGAACTGGAGTTGAGATGGGACGTAGA